GCGAGGTGCGAGGCGGGGACATGGAGGGTGGCTGGGGCAGCACCAGCACCTGCCCATGCCACTGGGCATTGACACGGGTGTGCCTGGTCTGGGGGGCTGTGTCCAAACCCTGCATGGGATCTGATGGTGCACCTGCCAGTGCTGCGCTCTGAGAGCTGCAGTCTGGGTGGGAGGGCTGGGAACGGGTCCTGCCACCAGTTCACTCTCCCAGACTGGTGGGGTGTGCATGGGGGACCTGTGCTGAGACATGGAGCTGGTGGGCACAGACACAGCCAGCATTAGCTCTGCTCCTCACCTCCCTCAATCCTGCGAGTGCCACCCTGCAGACACACCCCACTAACGTGCTTGCTCCTCGCGCTGGCTCTTGGGTGGCTTGTCTCCTCTTGGCCTTTGGGCATGGAGTCATGTTCCAGCCACTGGCTTCACTGTCTGTACCCTGACCCAGGCTTGGGGCTCTCCCTGTCCAGATGCTGAGGTTGATGGAGTATGGAGGATGCAGGCAGGCAGCAGGAGGCTGCTGTTTTGTCTGCAAATCCTTCTGTGAGTTATCCCAGTGGGTCTTGTCATGGTTAGTTCAGGGACATGCTGTGCTGCTTCCCTGGCCTAGGCTGCTCTCAGTGCTGTGATTTGGGTTGGGGAAGGCAGAGCCAAGACAATGACAAAGCAGAGCTCCAGCCCCATCCCCACGGCCTCACTGGATCCCCCCACCCATGTCCCAGCTGTGCTGACCCCTCGCTAATTGGGAGAGCTGGTGGGAAAATGGAGGGGTTCTGCCAAAACCACCAATTTTGGTTGGTTTTTTTAAACCCATTGTCTAAATTTACCATTTTGGGCCAAGAGGAACCTGCCAGCCAGCTGCCTCACTTCACATCCCAGTGCTGCTGTGGCTCAGGGGCCGTCAGGGTTGGGTGCTGCCCTGTCCCCTGGGGGTGGCTGCACCCAGCTTGGAGTCCAGCTCAGCTCCCTGGAGGATGCAGCTGGTATGGGCATGGCCATGCCGGGGGCTGATGTCCTTTTCCCCTCCCAGAGCAAGAGGCGGAGGTGGAGGACCACGACCTGGCTGGGCAGGGGAGCTTCAAGCTGGAGGGCTCCTGGCTAAAGCTGCGCCAGTTCCATGGGCTGATTGTCAAACGCTTCCACTGTGCCAAGCGCAACACCAAGGCCCTCTTCTCGCAGATCCTCCTGCCCGCCTTCTTTGTCTGCGTGGCCATGACTGTGGCACTCTCTGTGCCCGAAATAGGTGAGTGTGAGCCACCCCCACACAATGGTGGCTAGTGGTGTGCCTTTCTGCCTGCCCCAGTGTGGCTGGTGGGGACAGTGGCTGGGGCAGGACAAGGCTTGCCTGCACTCTGCCACTCTGTGGACAGTGGTGTGAGCGGGTTGCTGTCCTTGTCCGTGCAGGTGACTTGCCACCCCTCATACTCTCACCATCGCAGTACCACAACTACACCCAGCCCAAGGGCAACTTCATTCCTTATGCTAATGAAGAGCGGCGTGAGTACCGGTGAGAGCTGCTGCCTGCTGGTGACCAGTGTCCCGTGCCCCTGTCTCCATCCCTGGGACTGCAGTTGGGGGCAGCAGGGAGGGCAACCTGCAGCAGGACTGGCTCAGGCTTGGAGCAGAGCCTGGTGTGCCATGTCCGCATGCAGAAAGCAGCCTCTGTTGTCCCCAGGATGTCTCTGGGAGACGTGCTGACTGAGATCAGCAGCTCAGCTCATGTTGGGTATGGGCATGTTCAGCCATGCCTGTTCAGCCCATGATAAGTGCCAAGGCCTTGAGATCCCAGGAGAAGATGACCAAGGTAGTGAGACCCATGTCTCCTGCTCCTCTCCCGCAGCATCAGGCTGTCTCCTGATGCCAGCCCCCAGCAGCTGGTGAACACCTTCCACCTGCCCTCTGGTGTGGGGGCCACCTGCGTGCTTAAGACACCCTTCAACAACACGCTGGACCAGCCCATGCAGAACCTCAACAGCAATGAGTCCAAGATGCTGGCGGCCAAGTACTTTGATGCCATGTGCATCGACTCCTTCACCCAGGGCCTGCCGCTCTCCAACTTTGTGCCGCCGCCTCCATCCCCAGCTCCCTCTGACTACCCCATCTCAGTGGATGAGGACCTGCTCCATGCCTGGAACTCCACTACTTTCTCTTCCACTGTCAAAGGTATCATCTGCACTTGATGCTCAAGTGTCTCCAGGCCTAGGATTCATCTCCAGCAAGGAGGTGATACATCTCCCCCACAGAAGCAGCTCTAGGGATCCTTGTCAATTTGGCCTGGCCGTAGCAGAGCATCGCATCACTGGGCTGAACTTCTGGCTCAGGGCTGGTGCTGGCCATGGAGCACTGCTCTCTGTTCAGCCCTGGCAGTGCTGGTAGAGCTCGCTGGGATGGTGACACCTTTGAGAACCCTGTGGCCAGTCTTGTGTCACCCTCGCTGGGCCATTGCCTTCTCTAGCCACACTTCATGCCCCTTCTCCGAAGTGTTTCTGCCCCCTGAAGTTTTCCTCCATGCCCATCTCTCAGTCCTCACTCACCAGGACACAAAAGCCTTCTCATGGGCTCAGAGCACTCCCTCCCTGCCTGGCTGGGACCCCTTGGCTCAGCCTCTCGCCCCACATTGTCCTGGGCAGTGGGGCAGACAGGAGCCTGGCTGTGAGCT